AGCTTGAAATAGGATGAAAAGCGTCGACTTGGCTTTCATTTCCATTTGAATCCGGTTGCACCAGGGTTGGCACCAAATCTAGAAAATGAAATTATATGATTTAAATGATTTAAATTAAATGATTTCCCCAACATATTTTGGAGAAATTTCCTGAGAGTATAGAATTTGCAGGAGTCTAAAATTGTGTAAATTTCATCTTTAAAATTATACTGCTAGGAAAACTGAGTACGAGGATATCCTTGGTTTCTAAATTGGACAATTATTGGAGGATACATGACAAAATAACCTAATTCGCTAAGATACAGTGTTCAAATGAAAAATGCCGCCAGATGACGTCATGAGGCGGCACATTTTCTCACTTTTAAATCTATTTATCTACCATTCCCCACGTCAGAAAAAAATTATGAAAAATACTGCGAGCTCAGCTTATTTAGCACTCTCAGATGAAGCAATACAATTTTTGTGTGCAATTTCTGCATTTAAGATGTGCCGGATGATCAGAAGACATGATTACGAATAGTTTTTGGACAGCATTTGTTGTTTAAACGCCAAACTCATACTAGAAAACGAATAAACATGCTCGTCCATTTTTTACCTGACATTTCCAGGTTTTCCTAACTTTTTAAAATTCCCTGACGTCACGGTGTCTACTAAAACAGGCTGGCCAAAAATCCGTACTTTCACAGTACTTTTTCAGTACATACCCAAATAATTTAGTACCTCCTCAACAGAAAAAGTCAGTACTTTTTCAGTACCTTCATTTGATGAAATTCGAAAAATTTCAAAAATTTGAATTTCTCGCTCAAATTGCACAACAATGAAAAAAATTCCGGACCTTCTTGCGGAATTTCCCCACTTTTTCAGCACTTCCGGACCGTCCTTAAAAAATCAGTGCTATTTCCGGATTTGTAGACACCCTGGACATTCCCCGGTTTTTCCGTTATTCCCTGACTGTGGCAACTCTGTAAGCACAGGGCTCGCCTCGTTGCGAAGCCTACGTCCTCGGGCTCTGGGCGCACTGTGCGGAGGTTCATTCATGATTTCGGATCGTATCTTCATTAACGATTGCGTGCTCGGCATCCTCGCTTGGAAACTACTAAAATACAGGTGCTCTCGTTCACACTCGACCGAGCAGGGCCAAGCATAAAAGCCACGTTGCCTCGAGGAGCGAAGGGGGGCGAGGAGGCGCGAGGGGACCGCGGGTCGAGAGGCGTGGCTCAAGAATTTTCCTCGTGAAAACGACATCCTTCCACGCGCCCGCGCCCATCGGCTGTCCATTCATTCAGCCATTTGGCTCCGAGCATGAAAATCCCTCGACGCACAGTTCGGGAATCAGGGTTGCCACAGAATTTAGAAAATGAAAGTCCCTGATACAATTTGGTGAAATTGTCTGACTATTGAAGATGTGACGGATGGTTAAGAAGGCATAATTAAAGATGGACCGCGTTAAACAGAAAGGAACCAGGCCCCATCAGCTGATGCCAAATTTCATTGGGCAATTTTATTTTTTAGATGAAAACGGTTGTGCAGATTTTCATGCAAATTTCAGTGAATTTTCTCCATAATACAAAGCAAATTCCTTAAAATTTTCAAAGGAATCCGCACGAACGTTCTCTCGTAAAAAATTAAATGGCCCACTTAAATGTGGCGATAGCTTGTGTGGCTTGGTTCCCTTCTGTTAAACGCGGTCCAAATAGTTTTCAGGCAAATTTGTCGTTCGAAACCTTCAACCCATTCTGGAATGCAAATGAAGGCGATTTAGAAAATTTCCTTAACATTTTCAGGTTTTCCTTGACTGTGGCAACCCTGCTAGGATTTAGGAACTTGATTCTAGCCAAGTCTGTGCCAGTCTTGTAAACTGAGCGGTGGAGGGGTCCAGAAAAGCTGGGCGCCTTCAACGGACGGATTATAATTGGGCCGTAAATTTACAGCCCTGTCTTCGTTCCTGACTTTTGGGTCCATTGCTGTCCAGCCTCCGACCGTTTTCACTTCCTGGACGGATCCTTCTTAGAATGGCCGCTAGTTTTCAAACCCACTAGGAGTTAAATTACAAATACTTGGGCTTTCGTCCGGCTCCATAGGAGGCAATAACCTCATTGAATCTCCTCTTTCGTTTTCCTTCGATGGAGCGGAAATACTCTTATGAAGGGCCATTCATAAATTACGTAAGGCACGTGAGGGGGATAGGGGGTCAAGATATGTCTTCCTTACGGCAAAGCGGCTTCTTAAAAGTAGGAAGCAGGAAAAAAATTGGAAGCAATCGTATATTAGTAGTAGTAGTAGTAGTAGTAGTAGTAGTAGTAGTAGTAGTAGTAGTAGTAGTAGTATTAGTAGGGGTGGTAGTAGTGGTGGTTGTGGTAGTAGTAGTAGTAGTAGTAGTAGTAGTAGTAGTAGTAGTAGTAGTAGTAGTAGTAGTTGTTGTAGTAGTAGTAGTAGTAGTAGTAGTAGTAGTAGTAGTAGCAGTAGTAGTAGTAGTAGTAGTAGTAGTAGTGGTAGTAGTATTGTGGTATCTGGTAGTTGGAAACAAAAAGGGCTCGAAATTAACTGAGCGCTGAAGAATAAAATCTTGGCAGAACGGAACGAAACATGATATTTGCAGAGATTTTAAGCTACCTCTTAAAGTGAAGAAATTGCGGAAATTTTTGCTAAATACGCCCGTCAACGTATGGCAATCCACTTTCGGTCTTCCAATGTCGCCTGATTTGGAAAAGACCAGTGTAAAAATCCAGAGCTGGCGCTTGTTTTACGTTGGAACGCTTCATTTAAACACCCGGATCAGAATTTTTTACGACTTACCTTCGTGAATTCCCCGTCCGATGCTAATAAAAATTGAAATTCAAGCGCTAATGGAGTCCAAGTCGCAATTTTTCGTGTCTTGTCTCTTTGAAAACTTAAGAGGACGCTCTTATGAGGTTCCAGTGGGAGTGTCAACGTATTAGTGCGCAATGATGACAGACAAAAATGAAAATCCGAACGGCTAGCAAGTTTCGGAATCAATGGGGAAGCTATATCGGGGGCAAATGAGCTAATGTCAAGAGCAAGAGAGAAAAACTCAAGAGGAGTAAGTGGACAAAAGTTAGGGGTCAGAATGTTGGCGATACGCAATAATGTCAAGCGCAGATCAGCGCCCTTTCAACGGCCACTCGAGAGTGGGATAGGTGCCTGGCCTGGAGTGCTTCCGGTGACAGCGTGACGCGAGGACCATTTTAAAAATGTATGTAATCTCTGCTTTATCACCGCTTTATTAGAATGTTAGTGCCCTTTCGTTTCTGGACAGATTCCACGTTGTCACGTTGGAACCCATTGGACATCAGACGACGCGTTTTATGGCCGTTGTTATAACTTGTGGCGAGCACTATCCCCGCGTGCTCAGGGAAATCCCCGTAAGGGCCTTGCAATGTTGCCGGGTCTGTCTTGACAAAATACCTCTTGTCTGAAAAACTTACCAACCTCTTCCTTTGATTTTTAAAACTGTAAAACCGAGACTGATAAATTTCTCCTTCCATTTTATCGCAGGGCTTAGTTTACGATTTAATCTGCGGTATCTGATGAGTTAAAGAAAATACATCCATAACTTTTCTGACATATACATATTTTATCAGCACAAATTTGGCAACATGCGAAGGGATCCTTAATTCTCCTCTTGTCGACGATGTTCAAATTTTAATAACTTCGGTGGCTACATCCGCAACGGGGGTGCCATCCTGTCCGGGTCGATCGGTAAAAACAGCGTATGAACATTCCGACGAAGTAAAGTTTCTCTTCCCTCTTCATTTCTGGCGTGTTTTCGATCCTTTGAACTTTGTAGAGGGATCCATTCATAAGTTGATCTACCGTGCATGAACATTTCGAGGAAAAGGGACGGAGATTTTCCTGCAGAAACAAATATTTTATGGGTCGAAATTTGGCAACGTTCAATTTCTCATACGGCGTTTTATCTTAGTGCGGCAATGTTCAACTTTCAAATTACGTATGCTGGGAGAGCGCTTGTCGGCGGTAAAGCTGTATGTAAACCAGAGGTGAAAATACACGGCTTCAGTCGGGATCAAACTCGATGTGAACACCAATACTGCCGTGCTAAGGAAAAACGTCGTATAAGCCTTCAGACAGTGCCAAGTTTCCTTCGATAAAGACTGAATTTACTCGGGAAATTGTGAATTTTTTTTCCAAAATTTCCAGACGATTTCGTACGCAATTTAATCTAAAATTTCTGAAAATTTCGAAGAAAAATGTGCATGAATGTCGTCAAAAATGCATGTTTTATCAAGGGAAATTTGACAACTCTCGAATGTTCATACGGTGTTCTTCCTCAGCACGGCAGAATAGAAGAGGCATTAGCAGAAAAGAGGGCGAAAAACCGAAGATGGAACTGAAAGGCCATCGATAAGCAGAGAAAAAGGCAATTCAACAATACTACTCGAAATTTATCATGTATCCATTATTCAAAAGTAGTTAACGCTGGGTGTGATCAGGTGAGTAGATTTGGAACGCGTTAAGCAGAAAGGAACCAACCCGCATCGAGCTGATCTCGAGAAAATTAAGGTGATGGGATTATTGTTCATGCATTTCTAAAAGATTGGAATGGTTCAAGTTTGAATTTTTACTAACTCGTAGCTTCATAAGTGACTTCTTGACACCAATCAAAGTGAATAAACGTTTTACCCATTTAATTATCTGTGTTTTTGGTCACGGGTTCCCCGATGCTTACTTCCAAATGGGCGAGATCAAATCAGAGAAAGGAATCAATATCACCATATCAAGTCGGAAGAAGAATTCACAATCCTTACGGCGGGAAGAAAGTTCAAACTGACTTTTGAAGCTTAAAATTTGAATTTGGGAGCGAATTCGTCCCAGAATGTGCATCAACTTGAAACAATTAAAATCTCAGTTTTTTTAAACACTGCGCTCAATGCGCTTTGTCCTCCAAGGGTGTGAAAAAGACAGCGATAGTATTCATAAAGATTGATTGGAAAACTAAAGGAAAGTGGAAATTCACTTACGTGATTCCGGAATAGGTGATGTGGGACTTTCTAAAATTAGTATTCCTTTTTGTACAAGCTCGTCCCGGTTGGCTCTTACGGAGATCTTCCTTTCAAGAGCTGGAAACAAGAACACAAACATGTAACATGTATAGATAAAAATGCGGAAACATGAACATTTTCAATTTCACGCTACTGACACTAAAACATTAATTTATAAAGAGAAATATTCCGGAGACAAAAGTTGAAAGAAGGGCTACCCTCCGAACATTCAGTTCATTCATGACGAACATTTTAGAGCATGCTGATCGAGTGAAGAGGGAAGTTCCAGGATATTTCAAGTGGCGTGTGCTTGAAAATAAAGTCCAGGAATGGCTCGTTTGACATCATAATTACCCCTTGTTTGGCGTAGCCATTGATTTGTTTGATTTGTTGATGATGATTTTTACGTGATCGTTACAATTAGTAAGCTTGTATGCCTCATTTTCTGAGACGGTTAAAAAGGTTCGTTAGACTTTCTTCACGTGCAGTCATAGCAATACAATCTTCCTTAAATGGGAAAGAATTTCCAAGAATTAGGCTCTTCGCAAGCGAGGAGTAGCAGTTATTGGAGAAGACTTTTTTACCGACCAGCGAGCAGACTGCAATATGGGCTCATCATATTTTCGCGGATTGAAGCGGTACTTAGTAGTTACACAACGCATCTACATACAGTCAATATGAAAATTTTGCGTGGAGCATGTACGGATTTTACAAAAAATTACTACCCCAAAGCAAAAATTGAAAAGAAAATTTCGAATTTCATCCTCTAATTTCCTTCTGCTTGTCTCCTTGAAAATTATTCTAAGAAATCCTTATGTAATGATAAATCCGCTGATACTGCTGTCTTTTTGAGGGTGTAAAAATTCAGTTGATCTAACAAGCAGAAGAAGTAAAATTAAAATGAAATGAAAATATTTATTAGAGGCATGTTTTCATACTTCACCGTTTCATCCCGCTCGAATCAGAGCAATTATTATGGAAATATGACACTCTTGTACGACTTCTCAACTTAATATAGTCACTTTCCGACCAAAGTATCACGTTTCAAAATTCCGCCGCCATTTTACTTTTTTACGTAGAAATTGTTGGATGAATGTGTTTGAAAACTTCACTGAATTTCATCGGCAGCACGAAGAAAATTCTTTTAAAGTTCCGGACAGCTTCGTTGAACAATTTCTCTGTATAAAAACAAAATGGCGACGTAAATTTGTAAACGTCGCATGGCGCTTGGGATGCTTTGGTCGGAAGGTGACGATACGGCATTGGCAACATTGTATGAAATTCCTACAATTGTATGCTTTGCTAACACCGCGGATGTACTATTATGAAAAACGTTTATTTACATTCGTCGTTTTGATCCCCAAAGCTTGATATCCCGGAGGTTTGACACACGTACGTCGACTGCCCGCGCCTAAAACAAGCCGTATTGCCGCAAACATCGACCTCTTGTCGCAATGGAGCCGCTGAAAGTTGGTCAACTTTCAAATCCGATTCACTAGCGATATGAAACTATTTTGCTAACCCCCCGCCCCCCTCTTCCTCCTCCTACACCTCCCCCCCCCCCCCCGCTCGGGAGGTGAAGCCTTTTACGCCCTAACGAGTGTTTAAGCGGGACGACCATGAGGCTTAAAATATTTAAGTCTCGCAGTGGGGTCGGATTATGGTGAGAGGTGGACGTTTGCCGTGAAAATTCGCTGAATAAACTGTTTTTGGCGCCTTTTTTGGCAGCATGGCAGATCAACGCAACCCTAGACGACTCCCTATGCAAAACCAGGCGAATTGATAAATGCGATTGTTTCGAGCAGGGTTAGCAGACTACGCCATGAGGAGAGAGGGTGCTCCGCTTCATTCGATAGAGGGAAAACTAACAGTGACTCACCACTGAAAAATACAAAATTATTATATTCAAATTATTGAAAATATTCGCAGAGGCGGATCCAGCAATTTGGCAACACCGGATTGCCTCCATTTAAACCTATGCTAAGTGATCGATTCTTGTCGGAGCACCTGGCCCCTTTAAGAATCGATACATTTCCATAGGTTTAAATGGAGAAAAGACAGTGTTGCCAATTTACTGGACCCGCCGATGAATATTCGTCGCTTCCCTCACGAAAGCGTAACTCAATTTCAATGCTGATAAATTTCCCCTCGCAAATGGTATATTAAACCGGAAACGTTAGGCATGATTCCTGATTTTTCCTCAGATTTTATGCAAAAATCAGACAAGTTTTGGATGAAAATTGCAAGGGTGCATTTTTGAAAAATAAATTAATTGTTCGAGTCAATTCGGCAACCTTTGAAGAAAGTCACGTTCCTTCGTCCGGAACGTATTTCGAATGATTTTTTAATCCACCCTTGTATAGCATCGATTTAAAAAAAAAAAAATTCCCAAAACTGGTACATTTTTAGAAGGCGGTATTTTAAAAACTGTTAAATTTATTTTTTAGGAAACTCTTCCTGGGAAATCGAAATCCCCGACTTTGGTTCACCACAGCCGGTGAAGTAAGTTGCTTAAATTGTCATATCTTCGCAAAGATTCGCCACTTTTTCTCCCGGAAAAACTACAAAAAAAAAAAAAAAAAAAAAAAAAAAAAAAAAAAAAAAAAAAGTGTATATATCTCCGATAACTTTCCTTAGATCGAGGCCTTTGAAAATAATGTATCTGGAAGCGATTCTATCATCATGACTCAACCACTAAGGGACCGTTCAAGTATTACTTACGTAACGCACTTTTTTCGGTTTTTTTTACCCCCCTCCTTGGAACGTACCCGTAACGCAGCAATACAACCCCCTTTTCAATTGCGTGACGCTGGCCTGACCCCACCCCCATTTTTCATTCGAGAAAGGCGGGCTTTTCAATTCGTTGCACGTTTTTTTTCAAAGTTTTCTTTCTTTCCCCCGGCTCGGATTTGTTATGTAACGCTGTGCTTAACCCCCTTTCACCCTTGTAACACGTCGTAACACTGGCTCAAACTCCTCTCCCCCCCCCCCCCCCCCNNNCCCCGGGTTTATTAAATTAACTGTTTTAAAATGAAGTACGAAACCAGCGAAAATATTGCGTCAAAATTTCCGGGACTGACGAAAATCCGCGGAAATTCTTTGGAAAAACTGTATTTGCCTTTCGTAACAAGAATTATTAAAAATAAGACATTATTTGAGGTCTGCAACGTTGCAGACGGAGCTAAATACGCTTCCTTACGCGAGTAGACAAGGATATTAGAACTTATTAACGGCAGGCGCAGTGATACAACTATTCGACCACGGGTGTGAGCATGTTGCTGCCAGCCGGATTGAAGGCGCGCCACACTCCAGCAATTACTCGGATCCCGTGAAAATGAAGTACGAAACGAGCGAAAATATTGCGTCAAAATTTCCGGCGACTGAAGAAAATCCGCGGAAATTCCTTAGGAAAACTGTATTTGCCTTTCGTGACAAAAATGATTAAAAATAAGACATTATTTGATGTCTGCAACGTTGCAGTCGGAGCTAAATACGCTTCCTTACGCGTGTAGGAAAAGATACTTGAACACTTTCACGGCAGGCGCAGTGATACAACTATTCGACCACGGGTGTAAGCATGTTGCTGCCAGCCGGATTGAAGGCGCGCCACACTCCAGCAATTACTCGGGTCCCGTCCCGTGCGATCTTCCTGACTGGTGCGCCGCTAAAATCGCCGCAAAGGGAGGACTGCACGTCATTATCCTTGACTCTCTGTCCCGTTTTTACCACAATTTGAGTGAAAGTGTATCCCTGAATTGTAATGATTCAGAATCTCGGATTGGGTTTATTAAATTCATTTTTTTAAAATGAGGTATGAAACGAGCGAAAATATTGCGTCAAAATTTCCGGCGACTGAAGAAAATCCGCGGAAATTCCTTAGGAAAACTGTATTTGCCTTTTGTAACAAGAATGATTAAAATAAGACATTAGTTGAGGTCCGCAACGTTGCAGTCGGAGCTAAATACGCTTCCTTACGAGTGTAGGAAAAGCTACTTGAACTTTTTCACGGCAGGCGCAGTGATACAACTATTCGACCACGGGTGTGAGCATGTTGCTGCCAGCCGGATTGAAGGCGCGCCACACTCCAGCAATTACTCGGGTCCCGTCCCATGCGATCTTCCTGACTGGTGCGCCGCTAAAATCGCCGCAAAGTTAGGACTGCACGGCATTATCCTTGACTCTCTGTCCCGTTTTTTCCACAATTTGAGTGAAAGTGTATCCCTGAATTGTAACGATTCAGAATCTCGGATTGGGTTTATGAAGTTCATTTTTTTAAAATGAGGTATGAAACGAGCGAAAATATTGCGTCAAAATTTCCGGCGACTGAAGAATATCCGCGGAAATTCGTTAGAAAAACTTTATTTGCCTTTCGTAACAAGAATGATTAAAAATAAGACATTATTTGAGGTCTGCAACGTTGCAGTTGGAGCTAAATACGCTTCCTTACGAGTGTAGGAAAAGCTACTTGAACTTTTTCACGGCAGGTGAAGTGATACAACTATTCGACCACGGGTGTAAGCATGTTGCTGCCAGCCGGATTGAAGGCGCGCCACACCTTACGCGAGTAGGAAAGGATATTTGAGCTATGTGCGTTACGAGTATTACTTACGTAACGCACTTTTTCGATTTTTGACTTCCTCCTTGAAACGCACCCGTAACGCAACCCTATACCCTCCTTTTGAATTACGTGACGCTGGCCTGACCCCAATCCCATTTTTCATTCGAGAGGGGCAGGCGTTTTAATCGTGCCACGTTTTTTTGCAAAGTTTTCATTCTTTCTCCCCCCCCCCCCCGGAGTTGTTACGCAACGCTGGGCTTAATCCTCTTCCCCCCTTGTAACGCACCGTAACGCTGGCTCAAACCCCCTCTCTCCTAAGTGCGTTACATAATATTTGAACGGTAAGAGAACCCATCTAGCATAGGTTCAAGCATCAGCGAAAAAAAGTTGGCACGAGAAGGGAAAGGGGAAGGAATATGGAAGCGGCGAAAGGGGAAATGTAAACGAGCTGAAACGAGGGTCCTGATTGGATGCAGTCGGTCCGGGAAATAAGTCAAGGTGGACTGAAAAACAAATTGCCCTACTCCGTCCTAATCCGACTACCGGGGGGAGCGGGGAGGTGGATCGCGGGGGGGGAGGGGAGGGAGAGACGCTCCGTTGCAGATAAGCTCAGAAACCTACATTCGCCGGAGTCTCCGGTTCCTGCAATTCCGCCCATGCCCCCCCCCTCCCCCCAGTAGGTCACTACTGCGCCATGCAGTTTCCCAGCCTAATTCTGCCATGTTATGGAAGAATATCGTATGTGCTTTCATACGTTGCCAAAATTGGATTACATTTTGCAATAAGGAACCACTATCTCTGGCTCTTCCATTAAAGCACGTGTACCTGCATGGGGAAATCAGTGGCATATGGTGTTTCTAAAATGAGCCAGAAGTAGTGGTTCCTTGTTGCAAAACGTAATTCAATTCAGGAATGTAACTCTATTATTCCAAGGTCGCCTAAATGACTAAACAAGTAATATATTTCACAAAACTGAACCTGTGCAATTTTCATCCGAAATTGCTCCGATTTTGTGCATGAGAACAACTTTTCCCTGCCATTTCCAGGGTTTCCTTGACCTTACAAAATTTCTTGAAATTTTCCGGTTTTCCCTGACAGAGACAACCCTGTAATTCGACGATGTTGTCTTGGTTTTTAAGTCGAGGAGATGCTTTTGGCGGACGGGCAACGTCGCGGAATTGCGGGAGAACCGCGAAACGTTCGAAAAGTGAGGACGTCACTTGCGGCAATTTCGGCTACGGTCCTCGCGGAGTGGGAATCGCAAACCCAACAGACGAATTTAGTGTGACGTCACATCTCGTTATAATTTCGATACCTCGAAAGTCGAAACGTGCCCCAACAAACGAACATGGAGGAACCTGCGGGATATAGGAAGGGGGGTAGGGGTATTCGCTCGATGGCTGTCTATAATATTACGAGTTTATATTACACAATTCTTGTGATTGTGATCTTAAACGTTTTGGTAAATGAGTAGCTTTCATAATTTTAAAGTCCCATGGATTAATTGTTTGGTTTCAGGTTAGTTTTAGCATTATTTCGTCAATTGTTCATTTTGGAGGTTATGTTTGTTTGTTGGGGCACATTTCGACTTTCGAGATATCGAACCACCAATATCGCTCCGTGACGTCACCAGTAAAATCGTCTATTTGTAAACTGCTCACTGCACCGATAGAGAACAACCCCCCCCCTCCGGCCCGGCGTCCTTCCTCCAACTTTTTCGACGGCTTCCTCCAAGGAATCGAGATCCGCTGGGCTTAACTCCGACCAATTCTGGCGAGGGTCTTCTGGGTACGTTCGGAAACTTGAGAGAGCGACTCGTTCTTCCTCAGAAAATGGGTATGTTACAAACTTTCGCTACAACGAAGAGACGAGTAAAAAGTGGCTCGCCAATCACGGTGAGCACATCGGGAGAGTCTGAAATTTACTCATATAACTTCGCGATCTATGTGAGGAATTAGCTCATATTTTTTTTTGCTTCACAGAGTATTCTTTGGCAAACACATAACTTGAGTTCGCTCCCGGCTGATGGTGGAGCTTTGAGCTCAGAAACGCGTCTCACATAAAAAGATTACTGCAAGTGAGTAACGGGATTTTTTTTAAAATTTTTTCATCACAATTTAACTTGTGGCGTTTCCCCCATGACTTTCTTTTTCTGTTGGACCCTTTCAGACCTGATGTGCACTGTAGTGCACACAACTTAAAATCGTAACGCGATTACTATTTATGGCACAGGCTTTTAACTTCGTGTGTACCTCTAGAAGGTAATAATCCATGCAAGAAAAATACATACAGCGCTCTTTGATGAATAATCTGAGAACTTAAATCAGTATACCAACTGAAATTTTGGAGAGAAAAAATGTCCAACTTCGCCGTTCTTTCGTGCCTGCCTTAATGAAGATATCGGGTGTATATGACTAAATATATCGCGTTAAGCAGAAAGGAACCAAGCCACATTAGCTAGAGCCAAATTTAACTGGGCACTTTAATTTTTTACATGGAAACGGTTGTACGGATTCTTGTGCAAATTTCAGTGAATCTTTTGCCTGGCATACCATGCAGAAAATTTTAAAAGAATTGAAATGATGAGGAATTTGCTTCGTCGGGGAAAACGTTCTCATATAAAAAATTAAATTTCCCGGTTTTTGGCAATAGCTGATGTGGCTTAGGTTGCTATCTGCTTAACGCGGTCCAAATGATGTAAAAATATTGCGATTTCGTGATAGAAAATTTCAATTTCATTGCAATATTTTCAGTGGACTGTGCTACTTGGGCACTCGATACGTTTTACCGAGGATGTGAGATATTGGTGATGGTGACACTTACATCTTGAGGCGGCTTCAAATTTGTCCGATTTTTTGCGTCTCTTCCACTTCCACGGTTTGAAGAGCCTACCGAGCGCCGAGAATTTGCTGACGGGCTTCCTCTCCAGCGGAAGGGGCGGGGTCCGAGTTCCGGAGCCGAGGCTGTTGGTCCGTAGCGCCGCGCCGTTTTGCTTCTTCGCTGCAACAGACAATGCGCCACGCACCATTAACAAACATCCTACCACCAACGCAATCCTCGAGACATTGCCATACAACCAGAATAAATACACAAATAAAATTACAATAAATTCATAGAGAAACGACCCACAGTGGATCGAGTCAATAGGAGAGGTCAGGCAAAAGTTGGAAACTTTCAACGCTTATAACTTCGTTTATACAAAACTTAGGGGCTCTAAAGATGGTTCTGTTGGTTTCCTCGTGAAATTGTCTACTTTCAACACCCCTTGAAATGTGAAATGTGACGAAATTAACACCAAAATTTGCAGTTTTAGTCAAAAATTTTAAGTCCGACTTCTGTAATTGACTCGATCCACTGTGCGACCCATCGTTCGATCAAGTTCCAGTAAAAGCTTCGACACCCTAACAGAGAAAAATAATAAGGTTTTTTTTTCAGAAAATAAAGCGTGACTTACGTTATTTTACAGCAAGCGTGCTGCTGCATTGATTTATGAATTCGTAGTAAAATATCATTGACACCCTAATCGTGAAAAAACAATCTCAGATTTCTTTGGGAGAGAACGCGTGACTTACGTTGTTTTACAGCAAGCGCGTCTATCGAGTGTCGGATAGTCACTCAATCAGTCAATTCCCGATGGAAGCCGGCAACAAAGAGGAGACTAATGCACAATGCAAGTGCTCCTACGGCTTACTCAGGGATTTGGCGCGCAGACACAATTGAGGATCGAAGAAATTAGGGGCTTATGAACGGAAAGTTGCTCAACTTTCAACATGTGGTTGGCGTACTGCATATAACAAAGGGAGATAGACAACTCAAACCGGGAGGGAAGGGCCGCAGAATGCATTAGCGAGGGCTCATGCGCCGAGGAAAAAACCGCAGGAAAGTTATTAGTCGTTCGGCTGTGATTGTAAACAACGTTACTGACTATCCATTTCAGAGCACATTTAACATGTTTTGAAATGCTTTTCATAATTTTATAAGTTACTGGAAAATAAGGTGGTATAGAGACTAAATCAAAGGGTATAACCGACAGAATGAACCACTAGACAGGGGAAGGGAGCGAGTACTGCAATGCATATTTTCTCATCAAAGTTACACCTGCAATCCAATGGGCACACAGAAAATTTCAACTTTTATACGGTAAGTTTGGCGCGGAAAAGATCGTACCCAAAAGATTAATACGGCAACCGAAATGGACTTCTGGCGAAGATCAGCCAGAATCTCGAGAGGAGATCACGTAAGGAACGAAAGAGGGCGTGAGATTACGAGCGCCGAGCAGGACAAGGATATGACAGAAGAGCGGGTCGATTATTGAAATTGATAGGCAAAGCGATAGAGAAAGAAGACATGAGGCGTATGGAGCTATCCTATTGGTTGAAATGGGTGGTTCCTATAGACTAAGGGAGAAAATGATGGAGTAACTGTCGGGTCCCTCGTGGGTTGCCGTCACTTAGTACATTACCTACGTTCTTTGTTCATTGCAACCACCCGCTTCCACCAATAGGATCCCTCCATATCTCATTTGTCCTCTTTTGTCCTTTTTGTCTATAGCTTTGTCTATCAATTTCAATAATCAGCCCGCAGCTTGTATGGTGATCATGTCAAACGGCAAATAACAGATTGCCCAAGAAGGGATTGAATTGGGTTCCTCCTGCGGGCTGATTATTGAAATTGATAGACAATGCAATAGGGAAAGAGGACAAACAGGATATGGAGGGATCCTATTGGTGGAAGCGGGTGGTTGCGATGGACAAAGAACGTAGGTAATAGACTAACTAACGGCAACCCATGAGGGACCCGATAGTTGGTTCATCATTTACCCCTTTAGTCTATAAGAACCACCCATTTCAACCAACAGGATCGCTCTACACTACTTATGTCTTCTTTGTCTAGAGCTTTGTCTAAAAAGTTCAATAATCGACCCGCTGGAAGGAGACGCAGGGGACGTCCAATGAAATCGTGTAAAGGTAGAATTTAAAATAAAATTACGAGGAGCAATAGCAGACGACCTCTGTTTCGATATAGTTTCGATGAGGATGGCGACTAGGTGTCGCAGAGTACCCGGGCGTGCTGTAAAAGTGACTAGTATATAACTAGTAAGTGGAGGGAGCCTAAGTCTAACGACATCAAATTAGACACCTGACTGATTTCAGCGAATTTCACGATTAAATGTTTTTCATTGTACTGAATCTGTTAGAAGAAGTTTATGACAACCATGTACTACAAGAGGGGAAAAAAGCTAGTGAAACAAAAGTCTAATACTTTGCCGAGTGATAAGTTTGTTTACAAGGATCGATTTAATTCAAGTTCATTTTCTTCTTTTCTTCCCCTGCGAGCACAAAAGTTGAATTCTCCAACTCTAGATATACTGCGATAAACGCTAATCTCTTTTCATGTATTGATTGGGTATTTTTAGTATCTTTAACGTGTATTACATAAAATTTTAGTGATGCAGCATGTCCTGAGGTGCTTGCATTGGTGCCCTGTTTGGTGCTCCATTCTGCCGTGCTAAGGAAGAACGCCGTATGAGCCATCAAACGTTGCCAAATTTCCTTCGATGAATACCGAATTTGCAGGGAAAATTGTGAATATTTTTTCCCAAAATTTACAGACGATTTCGTACGCTATTTAATCTAAAATATCTGAAAATTTCAAAAAAAAAAAAAAAAAAAAAAAAAAAAAAAAAAAATGTGTAAGAATGTCGTCAAAAATACATGTTTTATCGAGGGAAATTTGGAAACTCTAGAATGTTCATACGGCGTTCTTCCTTAGAACGGCAGCATTAGCTATCTACTTTACACGCCGTTAATGAAAAAGGTAAAACCATAGAATCCGGAAAAAGAGCATTTTAAAATAGCACTATACTCTTCGCACTAACTTGGAGTGGATGGTTTCATTCCGCGAATTCGTAATGGCAACTGGCGATCTTGCTTCGTATGCGTGCGGTTAGATCGGTGTCCACGGTTGGGTTCGGGTCGGGTAGGCAACTAAACTAACTCCATAACAAAGCGTATAGTGTCACGCTGAAATGAAGGCGCTTCGTGGCGTGCTTGTGCATTTGAAGTTCGTTGCAGATGATAGTCAATTATTACCGTCTATTATGTCGATGCGAATTCTTGAGATTTCCCGGGGCAAATCGCAGAGCGGTTTGCAATTTCCTGTGTCGAATTTTCATTTTATCGGCAGCACGAAGAAAACTCAGTAGAATTTTGGGGGAACTTCGTCGGAGGATTTCTCTGTACACAAATAAAATGTCGGCGGCTCTTTTGAAACGTCGCATGGCACTTGTGATACTCTGGCCGGAAGGTGACGGTCTCGTCTTTTTCACGAGAAACGGGGCGACAGATATCGTCGTCGATACGGGTGGTCCAAACCATTGCGTGTGCGTGGAGCGATTAAGGAGCTGAGAAACGGGATCAATTAGAGGAGTGCTACTGCTACCCGCAATCCGGACTAAGGAGAGGAGCGCTTCTGTTCAGCCGTACTAAGGAAAAACGCCGTATGAACATTCGAGAGTTGCCGAATTTCCCTTGATAAAACATGTATTTTTGACGCAATATAATTACACTTTCCCTTGAAATTTTCAAATATGCTAGATTAAATTGCGTGCGAAATTGCCTGAAAATTTTGGACAATAATTTTCACAATTTTCCGAACAAATTCGGTTTTTTATCGAAGGAAACTTGGCAACGTCTGAAGACTCATACGGCATTCTTCCTCAGCAGGCAGTGTTACTGTTACGGCCGATGGAACTTCTTTTTGAGGAGCTCGCGGTTATGTAAAGGCGCCCCACAGAGGAACGAGTCTCGGGAGGCAGTCGAACATGAACATTTTTGTGAAAAACTGTAAAATTTTACGGTTATCTCGTCACAATTTTAATTCTAAGGGATGCTCCTCGTGGAAATTTTTACGAGAAGTTCAATGCAACCACTTTCAGTACATCAACATTTCTTATCAATGAGGATACGCGCTTTTTAAGTTATGAAATAATGTCCAACCTCTCCCATTGACTCGATCCACTGTGCGCCGGCGCAGAGCAATTAAATTTCACTCCGCTTCAGGCTCGGCTAATGATTTTGATTGCGGCGAGTTCTTTCATTAAACGAAACTTACAATTCACTTATTGGAAAGTTTTACGCTTTTCGCGCGATTGGTTTCGCATCGTCGTGAAACAAAGGTCTCCCTCGGCTACTGTCTTCTGCACTACGCATGACTGAATACATCGTTTTGGGAAGTGCCCGACATTGACATACCCTTACGAAAACTTAGGAATCACAGCAAGTCTACCAAGTGGTGAGTCTGGTAAAAAAAAATATGGTAACATTCTATTAGTCTACTTCATGTATCACACAATTCACACAGTGATACACTTTAGTGAAAATAACCAGAACTATAGTAGAATTCACCAGATCTCTGGTGATACTCACCAACATATGGTAAATACTACCACAGAGTCTGGTGTTCATTACCATACACGTATCAATGTGTCAGAGTATGGTGAAATCTACCATATTTTTTTTTTCAGTGTAGGAAGAAATAAAAAAAAATAAATAAATAAAAAAGGAGAGTAAAATCCTGCAACAGTTTCGAGCCGGGAGATGCATATACGAGGTATGAACATCCAAATGTTGCCAAATTTAATACGATAAAATGTTTATTCGGAAAGGTAAGTTACAGATGGATGTATTTATGCTAAAAGGAACTATGTGCATAGGTTTTGCGTGAGACATAATTCCTTTTGGCATAAATATTTTCAGATGTTTTCCCTTGAAATTTATAGACAAGGGATTTTAAATTGCGCGAAAAATCCTGAACAAGGAAAAACAAACCACAAAATTTCCGGGGAATTATATTTTACCATCAGAAATTTGGCACCGTCCGCATGTTTACACGGGGTTTCTCCTTGGCGTGACGGAAAGGGCTCCTCGATGGGGTCGTTGCTCCGGGTTTTCCATCAGAGTTTCCCGCGTTGTACCGGAGGACGCAAAATCGTGCGCCAC